AGAGAGAGAGAGAGAGAGAGAGAGAGAGAGAGAGAGAGAGAGAGAGAGAGAGAGCAGCACATTTTGTTTTCCCTGAGAGTCTCCCTGAGCAGCCCTTCCCCTTGCGGCCTGCAGCAGGTGCTGTTCCCACTGCCCACGCCGCTGCCAGTGTTCGCGTTGCTGACAGCGCCGGGCTCCGAGCTGCCGGCCGTGTGCATCGGCGTGAGCCCCGGGCAAGCGGCGAGGTCGGTGCTTTTCCACACCGTGCGCTTTGGTGCCCTGTCCTGCTGGCTGGACGACTCCAGCACGGGTGAGTGAGTTGTGCCACAGAGACACGGGGCTGCAGAGGGGGCGGGAACTGTAAGGGAGGGAGGGGCTACAAAAGAAGGCGGATCTGAGAGAGGAGGGGTTTCAGGGAGGGAGGGGCTACTGGAGAAGGCGTGGCTGTAGGGATGAAAGAGGTGAGTTTGGACGGAGTTCAAGCTGCAGCAAAGGGGTGGGGCTGAGGGGAGAGGGCGGGGCTTCAGAAAAGAGGCATGGTTGCGGGAGAGGACTGGACTGTGGGAAGTGGCTGGGTCGAAGGATGGGACAACAGGTTAAGGCAGCTAGGGGAGAGGCAGTTTATTCCTTGTGGAGGGGAGGGTCAGAGTGACTGGGCTAAGCCTGAGCCAATACAAAGAAAGAGATGGACCGGGGTCAGAGGGATAACAGGGTGGGCCTGTGTGGCAGGCAGGGACCTGAGGGGCGCTAGTTGAAGCCCCTGCCTCTCACACAGAGCACAAGGGACCAGTGCAGGTGACCCAAGTTAATGAAGACATGGTGATGGTGTTGATGGACGGTGAGTGCTTTCTCCCTCCCCTTCCTGGTCCTCAGCCCAGGACTGTGTTCAAATCCCTCCCACCACTTCCTCCCAGGCTCTCTGAAGCTAGTGACCCCAGAGGGGGCCCCAGCTCCCGGGCTTCGCACCCCTGAGATTCCCATGACGGAAGCTGTGGAGGCTGTGGGTATGTGCTGGGAGGAGAGGGCCTCGGGGTCAGGGGTGAGAGTTCTGTGACCTGAAGGGTCACAGGCAACTGATTTCTCTCCAGCTATGGTGGGAGACCGGCTCCAGGCCTTCTGGAAGCATGGAGTTCAGGTGTGGGCTCCAGGCTCGGAACAGGTAGGCCCTCCCTTTCGGTTCACACCACTGCCTTGCCCTCTCCTCAGTCTTCTCATCCTTTAAATGGGCTTGGAGAAGCCCTGGGTCCCAGAGCAGACACTCCCACTGGAAGTGGGAAGTCAGAAGGCTAAAGGTACCTTGCTGGCTTCCCAGGCCCTTTGATTGACTCTGTACAGCTGCCTATCAGACAGGGCACTCAAGTTAGTGGTTTTGGATGCAGGGCAGCGAAGCCATTTGCTCAAAGTCACACAACTTAGCAAGTGGCTGTGGAGTTAGACTTCTCCGTAGGAAGCCATGTGTGTAGAGAGGGGACATCCTGCAGACACATCCACGCTCTCTCCACAGCTGCTGCAGGAGCTGAGAGAACCCACCCTCACCTTCCGTCTGCTCGGCTCCCCCAGGTATGGCGGTGGGGAGAAGGACAGAGGCATAGGAGGGGCTGCTGGTGTGGAACGGCTGGTTCTTCCTTGGCCTAGAACAGCCTCCCATACTCTATTACTAAGTTCCCTCCCAAGGCTCCGGCTCCACCATTCTTGGCAGCCTTGGCCGACATCCATGCTTCTCTGAGCCCCTTTGTTTACCATTCGTGTTGGGAGTGTGACCTCCCGGGGCTCCTTTCCTGTTGTTGCTGTCAGAGTGTCCCGCCTTGTAGCCCCAGCTGTTCTCTGATTCTCTCTTCTCTCTTGTTACGCTGGGGGGAGGGCATCCTTGGGAGGCCATTCTCTCCTTCAACCATGTGGGTTCCAGGGACTGAACTCAGGCCATTAAGTTTGGTGGCAGGCACCTTCGCTTCCTGAGCCATCTCACCAGCCCTCTTCAGACTCCTCACGTAGCTGAGGGCGACCTTGAACTCCAGATCTTTCCGCCTCAGCCTCCTGGTTTGGGGGACCATAGGCATGTCCCACCATGCCTAGTCACTGTCACAGCCCAGCATAGGAATGGCAGTTTCTGGTAACTACTTTGGGAATGAATTAGAGAATGACTTGACCTCTCTCTTCTTCAGGCCTGTTGTGGTGGAGACTCGGCCCTCGGATGACCCCACCGCCCCTAGCAACCTCTACATCCAGGAATGACCATCTGAGAGGGCATGCCATGACTAACGGACCTCTGCAGATTCTAACAGACACACTAGTGGTCACAGCATGTCCTTATCTCATAATAAACATGACTGCAGACTGTTGTCATCTGGCTTTTCTTGAGGGGGGGGGATTTTTGGATGCCCTCAAATTAAATGATCCAACACAATGATTGCTGGGGTGTAGCATAGGCTTTATTTGTCTAGTTCAGCATCACCTGTGCCAGCAGTCTGGCCAGGAGCTTGCAGTGGGAATAAGGCACTTGAGGTGGCGGAGGGCCAGCTGCAGACCTCAGCTGAGCTGGTCCTCATACTGCTTGCGGAAACAGTCTCCAGCAGGGAAGAAATCCCAGCACCTTTCCTGGTACATCTTCCAGACATACGACTCCTAGGGTTGAGGGAACAAGAGTCCTTTGGTCATGTCTCTGAAGAGTCTGCTGCCTGCTGACTGTTGTCTCGAAGACTTATTGAGTACACTCAGGGTGGAACTCGAGTACAGCCAGCTGGAATGGCTTTCTGTCAGCCATGTCCCCACTCACCCCTCATTAGCACTCCTTACCTGACCGGTGTGCTCCGTCTCATCCTTATTTATCAAATACATCAGGAAAAACCTGAGGGACAGAGGACCACAGGGGAAAGGGAAGAACCGTACTTGCAATGCATTTAGTTTTGTTTTCTGGTTCTGAGAATGAAACTCAGAACCCAGTGCATGCTAGGCAGGGGTTCTACCACTGAGCCACACCCCAGCCCCTCACTGGCGGATTCTAGGCAGGGGCTCTACCACTGAGCCACACCCCAGCCCCTCACTGGGGGATTCTAGGCATGGGCTCTACCACTGAGCCACACCCCAGCCCCTCACTGGGGGATTCTAGGCAGGGGCTCTACCACTGAGCCACACCCCAGCCCCTCACTTGAGGATTTTGCTTTATCACTGACCCACAGTGATGCTTGCCTTCTGATTGGCTAAACACCATGGATACCCACACTCCTTTCCATAACTGGCCCAGGCCCAGTAGCCCTGCCCTGGCTGTCGACAGCCTCCCTCCTGCCCTCTTGATCACCCACCACTTCCCATCCTTACATGTAATTGGCCAGGTTGTGCTCCTCCAGAGTGTGGGTCTCAAATCCATGTGGGGTCGTATCAAAGTAGTCACTGCCTATCCCGCAGATGAAGCACTTGGTCTGAGGACAATGAAGGATGTCAGAGTCAAGGTCCATATGACATCCCTGGTACCCCACAACCCCTCAGAGTCATCCTTGCCCTGATGCACCTCCATGTCCTCCTTCACTTGCTCTTGCTGGTCTCGGAGCTCCCCGAAAGCATCAATAATCAGACCTGGGGTGGCAGGACACAGATCAGGCAGGACACAAGTCAGGACCCTGTACACCCAGCACCTCTGGGCCTTGCCTTTCTTCCATGGGTTCCCTAATCTTACCACACTTCCCAAACAGAATAGAACCAGGCAGTTACTGAGTACTTCTTATGGGCAGACACTTCAAAGGAATGCATGGCTTAATCTTCATGGCATCTTAAACACTGTAGCCTTGACTGGTCTGGAGTGTAGACCAGGTTGGCCCCAAGCTTATGCAGCCCTCCTGCATCTTACTATGTAGACCAGGTTAGCCTCAAGCTTATGCAGTTCTCCTGCCTCCGCTTCCCGAGAGCTAAGATTACAGTCACGTGACACTGTGCCCGGTTTTAACACCTCCATTTTTTCAGATGGAGAAACTCTGAGATGAGGCTCAGAGAGACCACCAGCGTGAGGGCTTAGGGTAGGAAGAGGCTAAGCCAGGGAGGTAGCCAGCCCCCAGCGGCTAGGCACTCCTCACACCCACACACCCAGCCAGCACTGACCCTGAATGATGGCTAGCAGGATAATAATGACGAAGAAGAAAAAGGTGATGTCGAAGACAACCCGGTAGAGTTCATACTCATCACCCGCTGGGTCCTCAATCTCGTCCCCGATGCCTCCGCCAGCCCGGACACCCACATACATGTGGAACAGGTAGCACTGCAGAGGGAGGGGTTCACTCAGAAGGCAGCCACCATCACCTACCAGAGGCCTGGACGAGGCAGACCTGGAGACACACAGTGACAGACACAGCCCTGGCCCTGCCTCTTGCAGCTGGGGAAATGTCGGGACTGTCACTGAAGGCTGCCGGTGTGCCTTCATGGTTCACCTAGGAGGGGACTTCTGGGCACATCCACGAGGAAGTTTCTAGATTGGGTTAACTGAGCTGGGAAGGATCTAGCCTGAATGTGGACCCAGTGTGAGGTGAGGTCCCAGAGAGAATCAAAAGGAGAAAGCAGCCCCTTCCTCTGCTTCTTCACTGAGGTCCCAGAGTGACCGGTCACCTCACGCCCTGGACTCCAAGATGAGCTGACTGTATTCTCAAATTAGGGGCGGACATCTTCCCTTTCTTAGGTATTCAGTCACACTGGGCAGAGTGTGACTAACTCAAGTGGTCAGAGCCGGGGATGTACCCCGGTTGGTACATCTCGTGTTTGCACGAAGCCCGGGGTTTGATTCCCAGCACCACATGAAACAGGTGGTGGCACAGGCCTGTTATCTCAGGTGGCGGCAGGAGGATCAGAAGGTCAAAGTCAGCCTTTGCTACACTGAGGATAGGAAACAGGGCAGGTGACAGGAACAAAGCAGTCAGGCTGCGTTGGGGAGGACCACTGTGGTCACTGTGAACTGGAGAAGGCGCAGGAGCCCTCACAAGCTGGGTGAGGATCAGAATGGCTCAGATTGCCTCAGGACGGCAAACAGAGTGACTTCATGCAGGAGGACAAGGCTTTGCTGGAAGCTGAAGGAAGTGTTATGAGAATGGATTGGGTGATGGGAAAGAGTGTGCTGGGCAGTCAAAAACAATGTGGTTGTCAACACTGGGGAGGAAAAGATAAATTTTGGGGGCTGGGTGTCACACACTATTCACACAAAGACACCAAAGTTTTTGTTTTGTTTTCTGTTTGTTTGTTTGGTTGTTGGTTTTTTTTTTTTTTCTCTGAGACAGGGTTTTATTTCACTATGTAGCCCTGGCTGTCCTGGAACTCACTCTGTAGATCAGGCTAGCCTCAAACTCACAGAGATCCTCCTGTCTTTGCCTATCGAGTGCTGGGATTACAGGTGTGCCCCACCATTGCCTGGCTACACTAAACTTTTTACAATTTCTTTTGGGAGGTAGGAGGCTGGAGAGTTGGCTCAGTGGTTAAGTGCACTGGCTGCTCTTCCGAAGGACCCAGATACCACATGGTGGGTCACAGCCATCCATAACTCAGACATACTTTAGGCAAAACACCATGTATGCATGGAAAAAGAAAGAAAAAAAAAGAAAAAACTTTGTTTTGTTTTGCTTTTGGTTTTTCATTCTTTTGCTTCCATGAGGAACTGAAATACGGTTGGTGAGGCTAGGAAAGGCGTCACTATGAACAAGAATCAGGAGGGAGATGAGGCATGGGCGGTCATGCGGGTTCTCTAGGCCCTGGTTCAAGTAATGGTCAGAAAGAGGACTTCTGTAGGAGGCAGCATTTAATTAAATCCCTCCTGATTCTTGAGGGGTATGGACGCTGCCTGGTGCAGGGCAGAGAGAGGTCAATGCAGTGGACCAGAAATGGGAGGAAACGCATGGTCCTAGAGGAACTGAAAAAGAACCAGAAAGCCAAAAATCGAAAGCGGAAAGGACTGTGGTTAGACTCAGGTAGCGCCAGCTCTTCCCTGCTTTTGTAAGCCATGGTGACGTGGTTCAGCCTTCTCCACTGGATGTGTGGGTCACCAGGAGTTTCTAAGCAGAGGCGGGGGAGGGGCTGGGTCATCTGGCACATGGGACAGACTTCACACTCGCTTTTTCTGTGTTCCCAGGAGGTGAGAGGTCCCGGTTGTGTTGACTAAGAGCTCAGGCCAGTGACGGTGATGGGGAGCAGGCTGTGGGGCTGGACTGCAGCCCACGAGCAGGAGCTCATGAAGCCAGATCACAAGTCATCTTCTGGCACAAAGCCCTGAAATGATTCCCTTGATTGTGGCCCCGCCTCTAGCACATCACAGTCAGTGTGAGTTATCATCGCCATTGTTAGAAAAGAGAAATAGCCTGGCGGTGGTGGCGCACGCCTTTAATCCCAGCAGAGGCAAGCGGATCTCTGAGTTCGAGGCCAGCCTGGTCTACAAGAGCTAGTTCCAGGACAGGCTCCAAAGCCACAGAGAAACCCTGTAAAAAAAAAAAAAAAAAAAAAAAAAAAAAGAAAGAAAGAAAGAAAGAAAGAAAAGAAAAGGAAAAGAAAAAGAGAAATATGCGCTTACGATTGAACAATGGGAGAAAAAAATCTTTAGCTGGGCAGTGGTGGTTCATGCCTTTAATCCCCACACTTGGGAGGCAGAGGCAGGAGGATCTCTGTGAGTTTGAGGTCAGTCTGGTCTACAGAGCAAGTTCTTGGACAATCAAAGCTACACAGAGAAACACTATCTCAAAAACCCAAAACAAACCTTTGGAGTAGTCTCCTAATTGATGTAGCTCAGCTTGGCTTTGAACTCATGATCCCCCTGCCCCAGTCTCCTGAATACTGGAATTGCATGAGCACATTTTTGCTAAACCAAGGGCCTTGAGTTCTTCTACTGATTTATACCTCTGATCCCTAGTCTAAGACTTTCAAGGCGACAGTTACAGTTTTAACAGCTGATATGTTGCGGCTGGTCCTGTTCAAAGAGTCTTAGCTGCACCAGCTGGCAAGCCCTCCTCACACCCCCGTGACAGAGATGCTGCTATTTAAGCCCCTTTGAGACAGGCCGTGGAAGCTGAGCATTCGGGCTAGTTTTATGTCAGCATGTCACAAGCTACAGATATCTGAAAGAGGGAACCTCATTTGAGAAGATGCCTCCATACGACCACCATGCAGGGCATTTTCTTTTCTTTATTTTTTTTAAAAGATCTATCTATCGATCTGTCTATCTATTATGTATGCAACATTCTGCCTTCATGTATGCCTGCACACCATGTGGTTGCTGGGAATTGAACTCAGGACCTCTGGAAGAGCAGCCAGTGCTCTAAACCACTGAGCCATCTCTCCAGCCCCCCCCCCCCCGGGCATTTTCTTAATGAATGA